CGATGGAGTGGACATTGAAAGTAAACCGAACAGTTGTTATTGCGTTGCACCGCTGTGGACACTCGCCGAGTACCATTTTCAAGTTGCTCAAAAATTTGAATATAACGCTTAGGTTTGTGTACGGTACTATTGATAGGTACCTTGAAGTCTCCAGTGTTGAGGACAAGAAAAGAACTGGCTGGCCACGCTCCGCAAGAACACCAGCAGTAATCAAAGCTATCAAGGCGCGGATAGTAAGAAATCCTGTCCGAAAACAGAAGTTGATGGATTTGCAGATGGGTGTCAGTAGGAAAACAGTAAAAAAGGTTTTAAATAAAGATCTTGGTCTACGAGCATACAAAAAAAGAGTGGGCACTTACTTAATGCTCGTCTAAAAGCAATAAGGCTTAAGAGATTGCGGGTGTTGTTTAAGCGGTACGCGAAAAACCGACACCGTGATATCCTCTTTACGGACGAAAAATTTTTCGATATTGAAGAGAAGTACAATAAACAGAATTATACAGTGTACGCTAAGAGTTCTGAAGAAGCTGAAAATAAAGTTCCAAGGGTGCAACATGGACATCATCCATCATCAGTAATGGTTTGGTTGGGAGTGTCCTATTACGGGCTAACTGAGGTTAATTTTTTTCGAAAAGGGGGTCAAAACCAGTGCTACAGTGTACCAAGAGACGGTTTTGTATCGCCTTGTCAAAGACATGTCCAGCACCCTATTTGCGGGACATCACTTCGTGTTCCAGCAGGACTCTGCGTCTGCATACAAAGCCAAGACCACTAAAGCCTGGTTTGAGCGTCAAAACATCGTCTTAATTAGACATGAGGATTGGCCTTCCTCCAGTCCGGACCTTAATCCTTTGGACCAGAAATTATGACAGGGCTTAGAGAGGAAGGTCTGTGATAAACCTCATGAAAATTTGGAGAATCTGAAGTCATCTTTAAAAAAACCAGTGACTGAAATGGACACGAATATGGTGCGTGCTGCGATAGACGACTGGCCGCGACGCTTAAGGGCCTGTATTAAAAATGAGGGAGGTTATTTCGAATATTTTTATGCTTTTTTTATTCCTTAATTAATTTACTAAGAATTGATATATCACTCATTACAAACTGATCAGTACTTTTGTTTTTATCATTATTTCCATTTATGACAGAACTTTGGGACCGACTACGTATATAACAAAGAAATTGAATAAGCCAAATCTGATATAGGTTCAAGGGGCAGGCACTTTTATGCATTAAGGTATTTTTTTAGACAGAGTCAAGACTATTAACCTGGTGTGAAGCTTAAGAACCCAAAATTATGTGTCGCCGGGAATTGATCCAGATCCTCGATCATATGCCAGCTAAAACTTGACAAATCCGATGCGTAATTATCTTTAAAGTACTATTATTTTTTTACTTAATAAACTATAGAGTAACTATTAACATCAAAACTGTCTTAGTATTTCAAATTAATAAAACGTGTTACACTATACTTGATCGCAATTCTAAGAAAAATAACTAATTAAACTAATCAATGGCGACTTATATCCACGAGGAATAATAATAGAAATCCATTCCATATAAGAAATTGTTATTTAGTAGCTCGCTACTTAGCAATGGCGGCAGTGTGGCGCCAAGGTGTCGCCTTCATGCCGACTTGTACGTGAGTAATACGTTTATCCCAGGCTATATCCTGAATAAAAAGGATTCGGGGATAAATAATGGATAGTTCCAACTGTCAAACGTTCTATCATCTTTGTAATTGAGTTATAAACTTTAAACTATGAAAAAACTTATGTATGCATACCTACGTCAATCCTTAAATGAAAGGTGTCAAAAGTAAAGAATTTTAATCTGGTTAACGAAACTAAATTAATTAGAATATATATATATAAATAATAAGGGGGTTTTTACTACATTTGTTACCGCTCAAAATGTTGCGTCATGTTTATCGATTATTAAAAAAAATTGATGGTCAGCTCAAGTCCGAAACCCGAAATCATGGTTTTACTGGGCATGGGCAAAACATATATAAAGAAACAATAATGTAACCGCAAATACTTAGATAAGTATAATTACAAAAGTCGATATTGTACCAGTGCAGTGGCGCCAAAGGTGAAAGTAGCCATCACGACTTCTCATACATTAGCCACAGATTAAGTTAATTCGTGCGAAGACATTGCCCGCAATATATTTTGACAGTTCATCACTTCCTCATTTCGTTTCTAATTCCCACAATGAGACTTGCAAATCTACTTTTGATTGTTTGAATATTTTTATATTATAACTTAAAAGGTAATTTAATTTCTAGAACATATTATCTAGTTTATCGGACAGTTCATCCGTAAGTCATAGGGACTAAAACGTGATTTATCTGTTGTGATCTTTCCATTATCTGTGGCCATAATACACCGCAGTTCTTTTTTCAAACGAGTTTAGTAAATTAGGCGCCAAGATTCAGTCAGCTATCGCTCTGTAAGATCTTGAGTGCGTCGGATCTTTGCCCCCTTTAACACGTCAAAATAATGAGCGCGGCCCTTAAAACGAAATCGTGTTTTATTGTGGACCACGTGATATATTACCAAGATTCAGAAGTATTCTCTTCAAGGTGTCATTTATCCGTGATGTGAAATTAAAGCTTTATAAAGTACGTGTAATGTAAGGAAATAACAGCTGTACTTAGTGTCTATTAAGTCTAATGATATATTAATAATTATATACCTAAGGAACGTAATTGACGGAAGGACAGGGCAGTCTTAGCTTCGATCTAAGGCAAATAGATTTCAATTTTTAATGAATTAAGTAAGCGTGAACTGTTAAGTGATACCGCCCCGCCGCCCATCACATTGCCCAAAGACTCGCAAGTGCCGTTTTAAGAACTGGTACGCTCTTTTCTTGACGGACCCTAAGTTCAATTGGTTCGGAAATACTTCAGGGGCAGCTTCCAAACAGTGGTGCGTGGCGTCTGTCAAGACGCTCTGTAAAACATATATCCCTCTTCAGTCGGTAGCTTATTCGCGTCGTGGTCAGCAAGGAAACATCTGGAGCGGATAATCTGTTTCCACCGGTTTCTACTTTCTGTCCAGCGCCTCTCTTATAACAGTGTATAGTTTTGAGGACCATGAGTCTTTCACTCGGTCATCTGGTTGGGGAACGGCCACGTGAGCTTTTGCCTTCTACGTTACGAATCACGATCAGTTTCTCCAAGTTCTCATCGCCTTGCGCTTTGTATGGCCAGAATATGATTCGCTGTCGGTGGTAGACAGGAGACTCCGTCAGTCAGTCCGCGGTATTCTTAACATTCGCATCCAGGACATCTCAAAGTTACCATCCTTTGCCTTTCTTATCAAAATTCTTTCAAAACATATTTAATCCTTAAACTACCTGTTACACGTTACTAATAGATAAGTGTTAATAATAGAACGCTTAATTCGAATTTCGATTCTTTGAAAACCTCAAACCAATTAAAACCTCAATCAAACGTAGGCGGGGCGGTCTTCTATAGGTTTGAATAAAAAAACACCTGTAGTGTGAGAAGATAGCCGACAAAACTATGTCTATCAGTAGAATTCCTTGAACGCCTCGTATTTGAATGACATAGAGGCGAATTTCCCGTAATTATGTGTTTTGTGATGTATGGTGATTTGGACGGCTGGTTGGCGCCTCGGTTCTACGATGAGCTATAAAGCAATTCCGGTAGCTGTGATCATTATGGACACGAGGTTTTGCTCTCAAATGGGATTAGAAAAAGGATTTAAAGGAAAGTTTTAAGGTTTCTGACCCAATACGACTTAGGGTCCTTCAAGAGCGTACCAATTCTTAAAACGGCAGCGCACTTGGGAGTCTACGAGCCGTATCACTTACTATACGTTTACACACACTCACGGTGAGCCTCCTGCCTGTTTGCCCCGTTATAAAAAAAGCTTGTTTTTTATAATTATATCTGCCCATATTGGCCTATTGGCTTCAGCGAGCAATTTCCCTGAGATTCAGACCAATGGACTTTCTATGTTAGTGTGTAACACTCGCGCGAAGGAATATCGTGACGAAAGCGGCAAAAATAATTTTGATTAAAATCTAAAATACTTTCTGATTCATTCACTTGTGATTTTTAATTAGGTATTGATATCACGTAGTCTATATCTTATCACATACGTGATTTTAGCCATAATACAAAAGTAATTCATCAAAACAATCAAAACCATGATACAAGTCCGCAATTTATAATCAGTTGTGATTGTTATCTGTGATCAAAAAATAAGTTTGTAAATTTTCGTCTACACTAAAACAACTGATGAAATGCTATACAAACTTTTTGTATATTAAAAACAAAAAAATATACAAACTTTTTGTATTAAAAAAACATGGTTGCTATGGAAACGGAATGCGGAGATAATAACCAGTTCTCGCGTTTCACATTAGGCCATTTTCACAATAAGGTTTTACCTGTATTTATAATTAGTAAACAAAATTCCGAATAATATTATTACAATGCTAACTCAGACTGTCTTGAAGTCTATGGATTTTATTCCTTTTATATTCGATACTGCCCTTGCCCCTCTTTTTGAAATAGAATTTCGCTGTTGGACTTAAGGGTGTACAGCTCAGTCTGGGCTGTTTTAGTGAGCGTAGCTCGGTCGAAATGGGCTTTTTCTACTAGCGCTAGGGCGTCTCCTGCAAGACTTGGACCTCGGGTTGGGCTGTTGCGAGATGGTTAATCGCCTGAAGGGCAGGACCGAAGCTCACTAGAGTGAGTGAAGTACGACTCTAGCATAATACTGTTTACGAAAGAAATTTTTATCTAGGACATATTTATTCATCTTGGTTTAATCTTTAAAATCAAATTAATATCGAAAATTATTAAATAATATTTTAGCTTTGATTATAAAGATTATAATTCAATAATATTTTCATACTATTATCTAGATTTTTACGTATCAATTAAGAATGCAATAAAATGCTCCCACAGGCTATTGAGGTATTTGCATTAAATGCAGTAATTTAAAACCACCTCATGTGCAATGCGCGGGCACAATGACGTCACACAGGCGCCGGCGCTTGCGGTGACCAGTACGTGTGATTTATCTTCAACTATAAATATTGTAACTTAATTAAAATTTTTATTTTTAATGAAAATAGTACCAATATAATATCACGGCTCCTATAAAAATCATTTAATATAAATTTAAAACAACGTAAGGTCACCCGGGGCGAAAGCAACTATGGGGCTAAAGTGACTAATTGATTTTATTCACAATTTAATGATTTTTGTAAAACGTGCCATCTGTTGAAGAGTAGAGCAATTATTACTTTTTTTTATAAAGTCTAGATGGAGCTTTTAAGTCGCTAACTGTTGTACTGACAGAGCATTTTTTGACTACCGCCATTTTGGAGCAAAGTTTTGCGGCGCCGTCTGTTTAGTTTTGTGCCATAAAAAATATTTCACGTTATTTCCAGCCAAATTGAAGGTTCATCCTAACATAAAGATAAAACGTAAGTGCTTTTGGTATATTTGGTTAAAGGCTAAGTCTTTTAATTAACATTTTATTGACATAGTTACATTAACCTCAAATTTTTGTGCAGATGGGTAATTGCAACTATTTTTGCAGTTGCAATAGCCCCATCGTATTTGTATGAAAAAATCAAATCACTAGTGAAGTTCCGTGTCGATATTTCAACAAGTGAAGTTCACTATCTATTTGCATAAAATATTTACCTTGGTATCTGTGACGTATTTTTTTAAACTTATATATTGTTTTTGTTAATAATTTAATTGAATTTATTTACATAGAAAACTTAATAATACGTGTTATTGAAAGGCAGATTAGGCGTGCACAAAATACATTCAAACTATAAAACTATGAAAGCCTTTACATAAAGTTACGATTTTGTTAATCTGCAGAGACAGAACGATACTTACGCATCTGCCCAGTGAATCTCTCAATTCAGAAATTGGCAGTAAGAATTACTGGACTGATCAATATCATCCTAGGTTTAATGATTACTCACATAATGTGGCATTATTAAATGCCAATATTATTAAGTCAGCTAGACATTAAGCAAAAATGTTGATGTTAATTCCCAAAAAATAACTTTAGCAAGACTGCGTTTTTGTACTTACTTTCATGTTATCTATTATACTTACTGTCCTTAGATGTTTATTTGATTATAAGAAATGTTAAAACCTTTTACTATGAAGATTTATTTTTTAATGAATCGCATTTTAATTCTTTACCTTAAATCAGACTAATAATTTTTCGGTCCTTTCATCGAATTTTTTTTTCACGAAGATTTATCGATAAATTTAGTAGTACGTATCTGTCCAACACTAGCAAGTATGGGAGGCAGTCGCATTCGCCCCATAAAAAGTTTAAATTAATTTTTCTGGAAACTGAGCCTTATTCCCAGCATCTAGATACCAATTTCAGATACCTGTAGTGTGAAACTATATATACCCTTATTCCAAACGTATAGATTACGATTACAACAAGGTCATTTAACTGATAGTTGCATTAGCCTCAAGGTGGGGTAAATGTAACTTTTAGTGCTCTTATTCAACAAGAATGTAAATTATTCAATAACTTAAGCCTATTTTTCACGTACTTTATGTCGGAACTATTCAATGAAAGGCATGGAATAAAGTAAGTTCATTTAAACAACCATCATAATTAGGTAGCTAATGGTAGAGGACGACAAAGTACCAATTTATAAATTTTTAGTTGCTTTCGCCCCGGGTGACCTTACCAATTCTTAAGAGGCCGGCAACGCACTCGCGAGCCCTCTGGCTTTGAGTGTCCATGGGTGGTATCACTTAACATCAGTTGAGACTCTTGCCCGTTTGCCGTTATATAAAAAAACATTTTTGTTTCGTAAACATTGACGATTTTTTCCTAATTTAAAAGTAAATATATTTGTTTGTAAAATAAAACTTGATATAAAATTGTGGTTTTATTATAATAGCTTGTTGTCCCATTTTAAATATTATATGAATATATTAAATTATTTGGTTTTACCCACATTAAGCTTTCCGAACTGTTTTAATCGATTCAAATTTGTTAATCAATTTGATAAGCAAATACTATAATTAATGTTAGATTAATAAGAGAGGAGTGTCGGTAAACTCCCTGTGATCGTTGGTTAGATGATAGATCCCCGGCTGTGTACACTCGCTCAACAAAGCAAAACATCGTGAGGAAACCGGCATGCCTTAGACACAAATAGTCGGTTATGGACAGAAGGCGGACATTAGTGATCACGTAACAGATACAGAAAACTTAGGCCTAGACCTTAAAGGTTGTAGCGCCATTGGTATAGATTATAATAAACAAATAACTTATGTAGAAGATATTGTTATTTAATACATATAGTTTGATTTAAAAAGTTAAGTTAATCGTTGGTTTCGTTGCTCCAATAGTTATTTGTAGATACGTTGCTGGGCTATAACTAGCGGGTAGTCTTTTTGTTTCGTCTGACAGATGAAATCGCTTGTGGACGCATTTGTTAACGAAGCGTCTGATCGCCTATAGCGATGTGCCAAAGACACACACTTTACGTATTAATTCTCAATTTCTCATTATTTCTTTTTAATTGATAAAAGCTTGCCTACGCTCGATACAGTGGTAACAGAACCACAGTATACAAATTTTAATGAGACAAGCACTTTTAGGCAAACATGACATAGACGAAGAGATAATACAAATATTAACCAAAATAAACAAAACAACTATAACGTGATTTATTCTGGGTCGCATGTAAATTAATCATGAATTTTCTCTTGTTACAGAACGTATAATAGAAAGAGACGCTGGCTTCGTATCTGGCGGTGAAGATGACGACTCGTGCTCTGGGCCAGCACATTCCGACGATTCTGGAGTTAGACTGCTCGAGAACGATAGAAAACACAGCAGATCCCCTTCGAGACAACCACCAAAGAAAAGAATACGCCTCAGTTCGCGAGAAGACCTGACCAGCTTTGAAAGTGACGCGCCATCGTCCCCTTTTAGACCCTGGTCATTCGTAGAGGAACCACAACGCGAACCTCTCTCCTTAGTCAAGAAAACCAGTGAAACTAGTCTGCTCAGGCAAAGAAGACGACCGCTTGAGCCTCCACCTCCACCAATAACAATTATCGAACCAGTTGGACCTCCGCGAGTCCCCCCTCATCCAGGAGTAGAAGAATGCTCTGACAAAAAACCTAGGGAGCAAAGAAATTACAAGAACATGACGAGAGAGAGAAGGATAGAAGCAAACGCTAGAGAAAGAACAAGAGTTCACACAATCAGCGCTGCCTTTGACACCCTTCGAAAATCAATCCCTGCATATAGTCATAACCAGAAACTGTCTAAGCTATCAGTATTAAGGATAGCATGTGCGTATATTTCTGCCTTATCATCAGCTATAGAACCAGACGACGACCTCTCAGAAGCAGTAGAAAAAGTCACCCAGACGATACACACAGAAGGAAAGTTAAGAAAAAAGAAAGATGACCCTTGAATGGTTTAGGCTGACCTTGGTTAAAAGAGAAGAATCAGAGGAGATTACTTTGAAACTGAAGATGGTTTAAATACGTCCGTTCTAGTACAAAGACGACAATAATTGTGTAGTTACTTAGGAGCTTTACGTTGAATCTCTCGTGGCTGGTGCCTTTTTAAAGTTCCTAATTCAGCATGGCGCTAGTTGCCATAAATAATAAGTATAATCTGTAACGGGGAACCTGCAACTAAATTATGATTATTAAAAAAGAAAATTGTTGATGACAATGACATAATTCGCTGATTAAAGACATTTTAATGGGACTCACCTCACACAAATATAATTCTTAAGTGCATTGTCAATGTTCTGTCAGTTTCAATAGCAATACTTATTACCTCAATGAAATGTCATTTGGCGTAGCCATTACCATTCCCATCCCAGTATTAAAATGTCGAAAATGTTATTAATTTGGGCTTTAATTATATATTTATTAAAAATCGAGTCAGTAATTTTAAGACAGAATTGTATATTTTATATAATTAGTGTAAGGTGTATTATGTGTACAGCCCTATGTTTAAGGCACAAAAGATTGAATTAAAACATTGAAGACTTATAATTCCGTTTTTCGATTTACATGCATTTAGTCTAGCCTTACTTACAAATATCTCAAATTTATCTGTCAACGATAGACATCTATAATCTGTACACAACGTATTGTCTATGACGAGAGCCTTGATTAAAACAAATAAATTGACATTTAATTAAAAGTTGCTTATTCATTACATTTCATTTTGCAAATTGTCATAAGTAGAGTTTACGTGATAAAATAAGGAATACATGAAACGGAACGCTTTGGTCAAAAGACTTTACCTTGGGGCGAATGTTTCTAATGAAAAAAAATGGTATAATTGAAAATCCACAGATAAAGTCAATTCAGATGTCAACAAATCACGGATTTAAGTAAGGCTGTTAATAATATAAGTGCCTCTAGATACACCGCTGTGCCGAAAAATATATATGCCTTAAACAGATGTTGTGATAATGTAAATATTAGGTTAAATGTAATTAAAATGTTAAAGGAAAGACATTATAATATAACACCATGATTTGTCAGCGTCCATCTCAATATTATATAATATTTCTGAGTAAGTTCCATCAATAATAGAACTATGAGCGTCTATACTCCTTGCATTTTCAAGCTTACCACGTACCTTAAATACCGATGTAAATTATTGACACAATGATTTGGTGCAACCCTTATGACGTCATTTAACAACATGAAGAAAGCCAGAACTCTAGTAAAATTTCGTGGTACGAGTTAAATAGTAATGTCTCAATTGCGGTGGGGTGGTAATTTTGCTGGTGGAAGGCAAAGATTGCATGATAATTAGAAGCTAATTATTTCCATACATTATTGTTAATCAGTTATAATACCTATCTTGTTGGCTGCAAATCATAACGTGTATAAAAGAATAAAACGTTGACCGTGTACTATTTGGTTTTATTTTCGCGCCTTTTCTTATGGCATATGATTATCAAATTTGACATGTCATAAAATACAATAGACGATGTAGATTAAAATTAAAAAGGTATTATATGATAGAATTAAAAAACCTTTTTTATCGTATTTAAAAGATCGATCATTTACATTTCGGATGCAAAGGAATGGTCAGGGAGTGAGAAAAGACCAATGAATGCTCAAAGTTAATCTGGGTTTCTAGTTGCATTTTCCTCCATGGCTTAATGCTGATTGATTATTTAAATAAATAAAATTAATTGTTTATAAGTAAAATCCGCACAATCAGCCAAATAAAAATGGGCATGCAAGTGTCATATTAATTATCATAATGACATGATAAGAACAGCTAAGTTATTTATAATTGTTGTCATAACTTATGGTCTAAATACACACCCACGCTATAAAGACACCTTGTCTTTAAAAATTTAATCACTTTCTCCTTGAAAGCACATGTATCTAACACAACAACTTTTGGAAGCGCAGGCTGATATCATAAAAATCCTTAAAATAATAATGAAACAGTAATTTGCGGCTCGGACCCAGAGAAGGTTGTAGCGTCACAAGAGGCAAATGGGCAGACGGCTCACCTGATGTTAAGTGATACTGCCACCCATGGATTCCCGCTCGCCAGTGCGTTGCCGACCTTTTAATAATTGGCATGCTCTTTACTTGAACCTACGTCGCATTGTTTACTTTGGTGGGCAGCCGGTTCAATTATTATTAAAAATTCGCAGAAATGCCCCATACGCAAAGGATACCTTATGAGGCGAATGATAAAATTATGTGAGAAGGCCACGGGCTATACTTATGTAACAGGATTTTATCCTGATCAGGATTTTTCCCACCATGAGCTATGAATTCTAAAGCATCTTTTTATTCTCATGCCCCATACATGGGCATTGGGTTTAGACCGGCTGGGGTAGTTAAAATATACGCGTTTTTGTATGAAAATATTATTTTTAGCGTCTTTGATTAGACATACCAACGCTAAATTGATTCTGATATATATGCTACTCTAGCTTGTATTCAAAGCGTCAATCAATGTATAAAAAAAATCAGTGGCACTACAACATTTTTAGGTCTGTTTCTTGATCATATGGCAATCAAATAGGCAAATAGGCAAGTAGGTGCAAGCCTGTGCCTGACACACGCCGTCGACTTTTTGGGTGTAAGGCAAGCCGGTTTTCTCACGATGTTTTCCTTCTCCGTTCAAGCGAATATTTATCAAACGTATAGCATTTTAAGATGTTTAAAAACATTATTTTATGTATTATTTTTTACATATGTAGTGTTCAAGACAAGATTTTGAGTTTTTAATCTAAGTTTCCGTCATCTTTTATTATCTGTATGCAACCACAGATTACATAGATGAAATATCGCCCTCTGTTACACAAAAAGCTCATTGCTCTGGCATTGTTTTAACTCTCTTGTCTTTTTCCAAGCTATTGCGATTACGCGGTAATGAAGAGAGATATCGGAAAGACAAAACTTCGGCGCTCTTACTGTGATTGGACTTAAAGTCTACACGCGTTGACAGTGACATGACGCGACATGATTCTTCATAATATTATTTACATCTCGCTTTCTCACTAACACTATCCTTAGTAGTTTTGTAAAAACGGTGTAATGAAATTAAGTTTTATTAAAGGGGTTCATCACTATAAGATTCGTCATATTATGTAATTGAACTTTACTTCCAGGACACATATTCAACGGTCCGAGTAGTCATCGCAAAAAACGAATAAAACCTCCTTCATAAAAAATAAATATTTTTTTATTCAACTGACAGTCCCGATTATCGAAGCACGTGCGGTCCCCCAACAGCTGATAGTAACATATGCCGCCTTCGCATAATCTATATCAATAATGTAACTTGAGATGAATGATTAAAAGCAATTTGCGTGCGAATAAAGCAACATTTAAAATTACTATAGAATTTTTAATACGGGATCCAAGGATCCATTTTATTAGCAACTGAGTATATATTTTGACAGTTTAATAGACATCTATCTTTATCTTCTTTCGAAGATAATTGAATTCAATAAAATAAAATTAGGAGAAATAGGAGAAAGGAATTAAGAATAGGAAATAGAAGGAACTACTAAAGTAAGTAAATATAATGGCTTTGGAGAACGCCGTAATAACATTTTATTTTATGTTTGCTCTCATCACACATGTTACAAGGAAGACAATCAGATACCTTCTTATGAAAATATGTTAAAAATGATATACACGTGTAAAAATGACATGTGAACTTAAGGACCAGCTTTTTATGGTATGGTTTATATATCTTTTAATCGGTCTGTATATATAAGTGTTGTGTGACCAGTGTTGACCTAGTGGTTTCAGCGCGCGATTCTCATGCCTGACGTCGTAGGTTTGATCTCCGGCTGTGCACCAAAGGACTATCTTTCGCGCATGTGCGCATTTAACATTAGGTCGAACAGTGAAGGAAAACATCTTTAGGAAACCGGCTTGCTGTATGTCAGGCACATACTTGCCTTTTAGATTGACAATTGATCATGAAACAGATACAGAAATATGTGTCAGATTTCCGCCACTGATTTTTTTTAAATTTATTTATTTGTGTACTAAAATGTCTTTAGTTAATAGAAATAATGATTTCGATTAACGCGTACAAAACAAGAGTGTAACGCGGCATATTGTTAGTAATTCTTGTTTGGTAATCGTTTGTAAACATTACACCCTTCATTAGCAACATCGAGGACAGCTGTGGACACAAATGTTAAATTATCGCAAATGTGACCAATCGCCCTTGTAATAACAAAGAGGGGCAGAAGTAGGTATTCGGTGTAGTTAACATATTATATGATCAATATAACAATTACACTAAGTACTAATCACTTCAGTGCCCATAGTAGAAAGTCTAAGTGACACCTGATTCTCTTGGCATCGTCTATACCTACTGGCCGGTGAGGTGTTTGCGATTTTTCGTGGATGGAGGTCTCCAACTTCCATAGACAGTAGAGCTATGCGTTTGAAATCTTATATCAGAAATCACACATGATTCGCCAAAAGAAGACCCGATAAAAAAGAAAATCGCCTTCGAACAATAATTAATGTCATCAGAGAAATTCACTATTCTCTTAAAAAGCTTTCGATTGACAATAATTACCAATGAGGTTCCGCGCTATCTAGTAGAATCAGAATAAACTTTGACATGAATCTAACTAGATGGTGCGAGACAATAAAGAAAGAATATTTACGGTGTTATCTTAACTACCTGATAGATGGCGCTATAACATATTTTTAGTTTCGTATAGTGAGAAAATATTAGTGTTGGTCACTAGATGGAGTGCAATTAAAGAATAATTTAACAGTCTGTGGTAAAAGTGATTAAGACAATATAAAAGGCGGGAAAAATAAAATAGTCGTGTGTAGGAAAGTAACTTTTATTACGTTAAAACCGTTATTTCATGCAGTCCATTTCAGGCATCTCGTGTCCAAGTGCGTTCCAAGGCATTTTACAGAACAATATCGTGCCCCACAAGAAATACAGGTATAGTTTGAAATAAAACCACAAACTGCGCAAAAGTGTCGGTCAGGAAATCTGTAATGTAAGTTAATTCCAATAACTTTACTTTTAATATAAAAACAAGAGAGATTATATGCTGTTGTTTATAGTTGTTGTGTATATTAGTCAAAAGGTTTGTTGATCTAACTTCCTCAAGCATAATATCTTATCTTGTAACTTATAACAGAAAAATCTGGAAAAAACATATGGTTTCTTTACCTATAAAGAAAAAAAAAAAATTCTACTTACTTAGAAGGTGGTGCTTGAGCGGACAAGTAATTTGGAGGTTCTGGTCTAAAACTAGCCTCTTCCTCAACTAACTGTGCAAATGTCTTCCTAAACCTTAATTTATAGTATTCTGCGCTTCTTGATTTTTTCTTTCTTGTCGGTTTTTCATTAGAATCAGCAAATTTTGGTACTTTCTTTGACATAACCAGATCCGCATGTGGATCATCATGGAAGTTATCCTGTTCAAGGGCTTCCACAGCTTTACGAGCGCGTCTCTTTCTTGCTGCATCGTCAAGTACTCTTCTTTTCTCTGCATCCTTTACTCTCCCTGAAAATTGAAATTTCAATTAAATTATATATTTTAGTCTGTTGCCAGATAATTGCATATTTACTCAATACTATTTTGCAAACACTCTCTTTATTCCATTATGTAATTTAAAGAAGTAAATTTTACTCCCCTTCAGGATAATAACTAAAGTACCTGATTCTCTTGATGTCATATTTATTTTTCTTACAATCCCTTATCATGTACAGGTATGCTTAGCTGATCCATTAAATCATCAACTCTTGCTTGTAAAGTTTCTACAATATCAGATGATATAAATAGATGTGTCTCGTCTAAATCCTGAAGGATAAATTTTCTACCAAGAGCTGATGTTTCATCTAAGTGCAACAAAAACTGTTTCATAGCTGGATCACTAAAAAATATAAAATTTTCCTGTAATTAATATAAGTTCTATATATATTGGCAAAAACATACATATATGCTTAGCTATTAATTACTAAACTAACTTGCCAGTTGTAATCTACCTTGTACAACAACATTACTGAGTGTTTTTAGATGTGATTTTTATTTATTATAGATTTACTAAGTACTAACACATTGTCACTGTGATGCCAATTATGTTTTAATGAAAATTCTAACAATGTAATGAGAAGTTAAACATTTCCAGATATTCAAAAAATGTCGAAGAAAAGGGGTCTGAGTGCTGAAGAAAAGAAAGTAAGAATGTTGGAAATATTTCATAACAGCAAGGACTTTTTTCAACTGAAAGTTAGTATATTAAATGATTTTTTTGTACATTAATTAGCGCAATTTCTTCATTTGAATTAGCTTCATAGCCTGATATTTATATTAGTATTTTTAAATTAATAAAATGCTAACAAACACTTAAACAATTTTATTTAAATTAAGAGCTGAATAATAGCTAATTAAGATAAGCTTAACATAAAAAATACTAGACAATAATATTTGATTTTAGGAATTAGAGAAGATAGCCCCTAAACAGAAAGGTATAACAATGCAATCAGTGAAGGAAGTGATTCAAAATTTAGTAGATGATCACTTAGTCGACAGTGAGAAGATTGGTACTTCTATTTATTTTTGGTCTTTTCCAAGGTAAGCAACTATAATAATAGTTTACAAGCCTTAGATATACTAAGATACCAGTAATGTCTAATAAGTTATTATACAGGGCAGAACACACATCAGTGTTTGTTTTACTAAAGATTCCTTTGCTGAATTACAAAATCAGAATTTTTTTCAAACTCAGCTATCTAAGAGATAATAATTGATAAAAATCTTTCTCAAAGGTCAAATTATTTGTTTTGCAAACCAAGCCAAACAAAAAGACTAAAATTAAAAAGTATTTTACTTTCAAATGTTTTCAAATATAATTTTCAGTAAAGCTAAAAATGCTAAGAAAAGAAAATTCCTAAATTTGCAAACTGAATTAAATGAAACAATGAAAAAGTTGAAGAAGGCTGAAGAAACTATTACCACGGAATCTGTATGTATTATAATTGGCATAATTAGTACAGTGGTTTAATAATTTGTGAAAGAAAAACATATTTTTATTTAACTAGATACACTAGATAAAAGTTTACGATTAACTCAATAGTTCATAGTTTTTTTTTGTAAAAACAGGCAAGCCGTCAACAAAATCCTGAGCGGGATGAGATATTAGCAACCTTAGAGGCTGTTATGAAAAAGCAAAATGATCTAAAAAAGGAATTGCAGAAATATAGAGATAATGACCCTGAATACATTGCCCAGTTAAAAACAGAAACTGAAGTGAGTTGTTGTAAAAAGTTTAGGTCAAATACTTATTTGCTAGCTTTCAGTATTTCCTAATGTTATAATAGTGTACATTTCTCCACAAGTTCCTCATATTAACGTAAGAAAACCTAATAAATATTGTTTTACTAGTCTTTATTAGATATTATAGTCTCCATTGGTCATATTATTAATGATATATTGAATTGAGTACCATGAAAAGCACCATAATCATTGTTTTATAATTAGACTGTTTTTGTTTTTTTATTCTTTTAGGATCTCAAGTCTGCAATCAACAGGTGGACTGAAAACATTTATATTCTTAAGTCATACATTAAAAATAATTTCCAAATGGAAAATGAAGTTATTGATCAGAACTTTAACATTCCACCCGAATTGGATTATATTGAAGAGTAAAATTTCATTTTAAATATTGTTTGGTGTGACTGTTTAATATTTTACATGTCCAATTCAGCCTTTGTTAGGGCTGTGATATTCTATTAAAGCATTGAAACATAAATTTAGTTTCAATTATTTTTTCTTATATATCTATTTATTATAAACACAATATTTTTATTGCATATTGCGTTATGTGTAAATACTTAATACATATCTGGTTAAAAATAAACAATTTAGTAATCGTCTTACCATTCAACAAGAACTCCTTTCATTACATTCACCATGATGCATTTTTATGTTCGAATACAACACAATTTATCAATAGAATGTTAAAAAATCGTAATCGATGTTATTGTAGCTTGTTTTAACTTTTTGTATGCCTTGTAGTTTGTTGTTACTATTTGACAGTTAAATTCAATGCATAACCTCGAATGAGTTTGTAATCCAAAGAGACAGTCCACAGAGTACATTTATAGTCTTAAGATTAAATTAGTTATACATATAGAGTCGCAGCAGTGAGACTACTACTGTACATTATGCGTAATAAATTAGTTTATAAAGTAATATAAAAAGAAAATAATGCAATATAATTTTAATTACCCTAGGTGTCTACCGAGCTCTAATAACTACATGGCGACAGGTAGCGCTGCTTGCAACATGTGTCCGAGAATTTAAAAAAGCTAAATATTTTACAGAAATATTTATCTAAGTTATATGTTAAATATTAATAGTAGTATAATTTATTGTATTCTGTAGTATTCAATTGAGCACAATGAGACATCTCCTCCAGGTTTTTCGTTACCCCAAATCTTGATAACAAATATAATTATTTAATAACATTTGATCTACGTTATTTCCGACTAACCTTTATTTCTAATAAACATTTCCTTCTATCATTCTCCACACCATCATTTATTTTAATACTTCTTAGTGTCTTAGTAGATACATACCTATTTGTGTTCTTTACGCAAAACGAAACTTTCTTTTGGTTTACGCAATGCATCATTAGATCCGAAGGTAAACAAATTATTATTACTAAATAAATAAATATAAAATAAAATATTATAAAATATGATCTGTAGTCCTAAGTTTAGAATATTACTTAATGCAAGTAAAATTTAGGTTGAAAATAGCGTTCATATACGCAAGACAAGTAAAATCAAAGAAATCCAAAAGTGCTTAAGTCAACTTTGCGCACCGCCGGGGAATTCTAAGTTACCCACATTCAAGAAAATTCTTACGTTCTTCGCTCAGTTAAATACCGAATTGAGCGTTCTTAGAAAACTTGGGCTCGTAAGCATAATACTCCCCATGAGAATAGTGACCCAGAATAATACCTATTTATTTCACAGGTTTATTGGCAACGGAAAATTTATCTAGTGGAAATCTGTTATCGACCATGTTAACCAAAATTAATAATAATGATTTATTCTCTCTCTTATTCTCTATCTGGAGTTGCAGATAGTGTGAAGATAGGACAATCCTCTCATATCTGTGAGGCTCATCAACCGACTCGTGAAGATACTGTCCGGACACGGCTGTTTCGGCAGCTATTTTAGAGAGGCGCATGGGAGGGGGGAAGAAGGCCTCTACTGGGCGTGCTAAAGGGCGAAGACGGTACTCTGTGACGGCACGTGGGAAACCCTCCAGAGAATCTGCGAGGCCATTATGCGCCATAAAGAAGAGGTGGAGAGGGCCAGGGAGGAATTTAACTCAAGAATTAACCTATTTTTATGTCACTTTAGGCAAACGGGCAGGAGGCTCACCTGATGTTAAGTGAAACCGCCGCCCATGTACACTCGCACTGCCAGAATACTAAATTATAATACTATATTGTACCTGAGGTACATAGGCTGTACTTCTAAAATAATTGTTTAGCGGAAAAGGCTGCTATTAATGAAAACTGGAAGTAAAAAAATAAGGCACGATAAATTACTTCCGATTTTCACTGAGTTTACGATGTTCCGAGCCAGATAACTTTTGTCGTAGCTTTGTGGTTGCATTCGATTCTGCGGTCTCTACTGCAGCAATTCGGATATATACTAAAATTACAGGAAACTTGGATTGTTGTACATTTTATTATAGGTCGAGGGTAGGGAAAAAGAAAAGGGAAGAGAACAAAACAGAAAAGTACGAATGGTTATTGTCGTGTTTTGACGTTGTTGATTTATATATTATTTGTCAAATGAAATAAATTCTTTGAATGTTGTTGTAAACTTACAAAAAATGTATTTTTTGTTTTTAAATATCCTTTAATCATTTGTTTTACATAAACCCATAATAATTTTCATTATCTTGTAAAACTTGCATTTTTTAAAGAAAAAAATGTAATGTTGTCTTTTAAGTCTTAGTCTTAAAGACAGAGTAGACAACATTATTTGTGTCACTTAACATTTTGCTGATTTCTCTTCATAAGGTCGGTCTTATAATCTGAGATATATATATTATAAATACATATACTACAGGTAAGTTATATTTAATACTTTAATCATAAAAAAAACAGCAAGAATGATTTGTGACACTGGTCTACTTGACATGCAAGATGTGTTCAAATATCATGTCTGTGTTCTCTCGTGTTCTCTCAAAGTCATATAATATAACCATGAGCATATAACATCGTTAATCGACTTTTATTTAAATAGTATAATTTTAGTTTTTTGTCAAATGTAACAATAATAAATAATATTAATGATTATAATCATACATACATATATTATATTTATAATATAATCATACATTTAAAAATAATAATAATCAAAGTATATAATGAAAAATAAATAAATAAAAAATAAAACAAATTTAAAAAGTTTGGTCCCTGTGGCAGTGAACCTTTAACGCTCCTCGCTGTATTGCGATACTTATTCGTTGAAAGAAAACTAGCTCTGGGGTCACCGGTACCTTCTACAGGCGTCATCTTAAATCTTTAATTAGCGCCTGTGCGACCTAAGTCTCTGCTCCAAAGGGAACAAAATCGTTTTGAAGGGTCTTATATTCTGAACCGTTTTTCTTCATGTGTATATTAATAAATCAGTGAAACACAGAAATTGTGAACCTGAATTTGTATTATTACTACAACGTCTCCGTCATCACATCATATCTCAACTATCGTACTTAAATATTATAAATATATAATAAAGATCAGTATTTTACTGAAAGGCTCACAAGGAGCTTATTATAAGCTGACGTTTGACGTGAATGTGGGTGGAAGCTATTGTTTGAAATATCAAGGAAACATTTTTAGCTGGAAAATCTATTACGCTACAAAGTTTCTATGCAGTTTTAAAGTGCTCTTTCCCTTACATAAAGCAATAGTTTGATAAGGGACAAATTTTTGTATATAACCCTTTGAATAAAACAATGTTTACCCTTCTTCTTTTAGTGCCTCTCCATTACTGGAGGCTGGCTCTTGAAGCGCGACATATCCTGAGCCAGATGCAGCAACTCAAAAATCATTTATTCATTTAGGTAATATACACTTATGAATGTCAATAAATAAATAAAAATAAATGCTTCTAATTTTACATTCTCAAATCTCAAATCAAAGGCGTAGAACGGAAGAGAAGAACTGGCAATAAACAAGCGTAAACGATTTTGCTCCACAGTCTAATTAGATGAACTACTGTAATATACATTTAGTTATTTTTTTAACTATTTATACTAAATACATAACAAATTGTTTAAATCGTCGAATAGGAAATAATAGCTTTCATTGTATATATATATATTTATATGTGTAATGTTCTAAGTATCCTAGTAATAAGAGCATTACCTTCTTTTATTTTTTCTGAAAAAAAAAAATAGATTTTGCTTTTACGACTTTCGGCAAGCGATCTACCTATATCTTAAATAATACAGCATAGCGTAGTATTTATAAGACAACTCTTACAAATAATCCTGAGTGTAAAGTAAAAGTTTTAAAAGCGTGGCTGTTATGAATTAACTCGAGCAAATAAGAATAATAATACCAATATGTTTATTGAACCGTTTTACAACATATCACATAGCACCAACCTACTTTGCTTGATACGTTGATTTCCGTGTATAATTGGGATTAGGGTAATTATCAGAAACTGGACTAACTCGTAGGTTACGGAACGAATTAAACTGTACATCACGTAACAAATCTTCTTAGGAAACGTAATTTTAATTAAATTGATTCACAACAAAACCCCAATAAAGCTTAATTGAACGAAAGCTTTGGTAATCTTCCTAAGTGTTCCCCAATTGTTGAAGTGAAACTTCTTTATCGGAGTTGGAAAAAAATTTAGTGTAACATTTTTGCGTTACGCGTCACATTTTTCCGTTACGCGCCATGTTGCTTTTTGAAGTCAAACTTCTTTATCGGCGTTAAAATATGACATATAGTATGTTTTTGACTTTGAAGTTTGACAACGGATTACATTTTCGAAGTCAAACTTCTTTATCGGCGTTAAAATATGACATATAGTATGTTTTAGACTTTGAAGTTTGACAACGGATTACATTTTCGACTTGAAATTTGCTAATCGCAATTTGCAGCAATTAATTTGTAAATTGTATGCTAGGCAGTGTATCAAAATTTACTGTGTTTAAAGAAATAGAAATTATTAGAAAAATAAGGTCATAAAGAAGTTTAACTTCTTACGTGTGTACACCTAGTACACGCACACATTTTTAAGTCGTATTGTTACATTGCTAAGGCTTCCTCCCGGTTAAGGTTTTTCATTACAGTTTGTGTTAGGTTACGATAACAAGTGTGTACACTTTCTAGCAAAATGTTTTTTTTAATCTTAGCTAAGCTAACAGTTACATTTTATTAAATAAAAAAAATAATGGCGCTACAACCTTTTTAGGTGTGGGCCTCAGATTTCTGTATCAGTTTCATGCTAACTTCTGGGTTTAAATACCCTTCTTCAAGAGTAAATAGTGTCCAGAAAAAAACGTACCAATTCTTGAAAGGCTGGCAACGCACTTGTGAGCATTCAGGCAATGTGAGTGTCCATGGGCGGCGGAATCACTTAACATCCTCCTGCCCGTTT